ATTTGTAATATCATATGAATTCTAATAAAGGAACAGAGGCACGGCCTCGCTTTTAAAAAAAAAAAAAAAAAAAAAAAGTGCAAAAAAACTTTAGTTAAAACTAAAACAGATAAAACCTTACTATGTAAAATTTGAGTTGCAGATAAAGTAGTCTAAATCCTCTGTATTCTAATATTGCTTAGTTGTATTACATTGTAAACTATATACCTATAATTAGTATATTAATAAAAATACAAAGAGTATAATTTCGCTTTCAAAACCAAAAAAAAAAAAAAACATTAATTAGATATGCTGTATATTTATATATATTTATTTATAAAAAATTTTTTTTTTTTAAAAAAAAACCAAGAAATTTTCTTTGCATGGCCTTATTTTTTTTTTGGTAACTTTTTTTTTTTAATCTACTATATTTTTTTTATAATTAGTTTTTTTTTTATCTATTATTTAGTTTTAGGTACTATACATATTAAAACCAATATCACCTCTATATATATTGTACAGGGTCCTATACAAACGTTAGCACCACTGGCATGATTTAGTATAGGGTATATATAGCGATAGAGAATATAGTATTTTTTGTAAAAAAAAATTTTTTTTGTAGTGAAACTAACCAATCAAATTGCAGTATTATAGATCCGGCTCAAATTTTTATATGAGCATGTGATTTGATAAAAATTTCTCTCTTTTCTCATCTGCTTTAAAAAAAAGCGGTTAGTCGTCTGTATTCATAATGAGGTATCTACTTTCTCGAATTTGTGTGAAATTTTATCGAAAGTTCATATAATAATTTTTCTTCCTAAAGTAAAATTCAAGTGTCAGCCGTGAGAGAATCAATTAGGACTCTCTTGGCGGAATCTAAGGAAAAAAATCGAAAATTTACCGAAACTGTCGAGTTACAAATTGGATTAAAAAATTATGATCCGCAAAGAGATAAACGATTTAGTGGAACTATAAAGTGAGCAAACTACATCATGCAATTAAAATTTATGATATCTGAGCGCCTCACTTAGTTTTATCTTGAATTCTAGACTCCCTAATGTCCCACGCCCCAAAATGTCCGTAGCCATTCTTGGTGATGCTCATGATTGTGATCGTGCCAAAGAAATTCAATTGGAATATTTAAGTGTTGATGACCTTAAGAAACTTAACAAAAACAAGAAGTTGGTTAAAAAGCTCGCTAAAAGATATGATGCATTTTTGGCAAGTGAAGCTCTGATTAAACAAATTCCAAGATTATTAGGCCCTGGACTGCATAAAGGTATTTATAATGATACCATTACTTTTGAGAATAAATTTTATCCTATTTATTTTAATTTTTCTTCAATATATTCATGTATGTATCAGCCGGTAAATTTCCAACTCCAGTTAATCATAATGATGATTTGAATGCCAAAGCTGAGGAATTACGTTCAACAATCAAATTCCAACTTAAAAAAGTACTCTGCCTTGGTGTAGCAGTTGGTCATGTTAATATGAGCGAAGATGAATTGCTTGCTAACATTATGATGAGCATTAACTTTTTGGTCTCTTTACTCAAGAAGCATTGGCAAAATATTAAAAGCTTGTACATTAAATCATCAATGGGTAAACCTCAGCGTTTATACTGATAGTTAGTAGTTAGATTTAGTTTGCGATTAGGAGATTAGGATTAGTGTTAGTGAATAGGTATTTAATAAAAAAAATTGTAAAGTCTAGCTGAACGAGATTGGGTGACGCGATCGGTTATTTTTATTAGTTACGTTTATCGTTCTTGCTTGGCATGATAACATCATGTGGTTACTTATTAGACTTATAATTTTAACCGATCCATTTTTCTATATGCGTACATTGCGTAATTATCGTGTGTATGTGTACATGAACCAGATCGTATCAACTATTAATCGTGCACGGTTACTACACTTGTGCTCATTTGGTTCTGACAAGTTTTCGGAATTGGATAGTATTTTTTCGATGCTTATAAACGTTTGAGATAGATACCCAATCTCCACAAGTAAATAATACGTATTAAATGCAATTGCTGTGTGATAGTGGTTAATAACCATAAATGTAAGAAATTTATGTAGGCGAATGATATTTCCACACCCCTTTTTTGATATTTCCACACCCATGCAGGTCACTTTTTTTTAAACCTTTAATCGAAAGTATCTCGACGATTACCTGACAAAGTTCAATAAATTTTTTTTATTAGAATTCTACGAGTCTGTAGAATTCAAATAAAAAAAAATTCATCGAAATTGGCCAGGTAGTTATCGAGATACCTTCAATCAAAGTTA